TCTTTCCCCACAAAGCGGAAACGGGGGGCACGGTGAGTGTGGGGGAGCTGATGTGTCATTTCCTTCTGTCTTCCTGCTTCCGTAGATCCAACCCTTCGCTGCGCTGCGGGGAAGAGGAGAGCGGAGCTGGAGCTGGGGCGGTGGGTTTCTTTGGCGTGCTGGAAGTCAGGACACTTGGGTTCTTTTCCTTTCCCCTCTATGGATATGCCACGTGACATTCTGTGCCTTAGTTTTCTCCCATGTAAAATGTGTGTATTTACGTGCAAGGATGCTTTCAGAATTGGGTCTGGAGAGGAAATACTTAGACAAACTGGTGATGTTTCAGCAGGATGTATTTGGAAGTGGCACAAGTGTGCTCTTGCCAACAATGTTCTTGTCCTTTTTTACTTTCTCTTTCCTTTCCCGGTGTCTTACCTTTTGTCACTATTGCTAAAGCAAAACCAACCCCAACAGCCTTGCTTTGAGGAAATGGCACCAGTACAGGGGAAGCAGCCAGATGTGACTGTTCCTTTCTCTCAGCTGCACCTCTGTCTTCTGACTGGAGGGCAGTGGAAAGGCCTCCAACTCATATAGGTGAATTGGTCCCCTTGGGTTCCCACAACCTACTCCTGTGACAATGGAAGTGGAAACGGAGGGTTGCGGAAGGACTTTGTGACAGCAAGGGATTGACTGTAAAACAGGGGATGAAAATCCAACATTGATAAGTGGAATATGATGTGTCAGAGCAGTAACTGGAATGCTGATGTCCTCTGCACTATCTGATACCACTTCGGAAAGAGATCTGGGGAACTGTAATACGTAGTTGTTGCAAAACCACAGTTCTAGGCCTGATAGTGGGTGCAGGAATAGTCAATTAACTGTAGGTCTGGTCACATTCAAAGGAGCCAGTCAGGTTCATGAAGAGTGTGGCTTATTAAATGTAATATATGAGTTTCTTTTGGATTGTCTGAGATACATGCATGTTATTGCAGAATAGCTCTATAAAGCACTGACAACACAATTGCAATCACAACTTAATGTTCTGGGTGAAAACATAGGGAGATTTAGATTGGACATCAGGAAGAATTTCTTCACAGAAAGAGTGATTAGATATTAGGATCTCCAGGGAGGTGGTGGAGTCATCATCCTTGGGGGTCTTTAAGAAAAGACTGGACATAGCCACTCAGTGCCATGGTCTAGTTGACAAGGTGGTGTTTGGTCATAGGTTGGACTCAGTTATCTCAGAGATCTTTTCCAACCTAATTGATCGTGTGATTCTGTGACTTCATGTAGCAAGTACACAAGTCTCACTGAAAGGTATCCCTGCTGGGGAGGGTGAGGAGGACAAACCTTTCGATCAGTCCCTACAATTTCCATGTCAAATTCTCATGTTCCCAGTTCGGTATGAATTGGGGTACTTTTATACCTTATTCACCATTACTGTACAAGGTGCTGTGGCTGGGACTGTCATCCAGCGTTCCATTCTTTGTGGTTGCATTACATGGAGTACTTAGGAGGTGTAGTTGGTAGCAGTGTTGGTAAGCAAGTGGAAGAATGAGACCACGTGGCTCCCACCCCTCCTCACACTCGTCCCTGATGCTGTGGCAGCACAAACCACCAACCCTCCCTCCAGTTTCCATGTCTGCTCTCATCACTGTGGACCTCATCGTGTGTTGAGCTTTGCATTTGCTTCACTGCTTTGTGCTTCCAGCAATAGTTTTATGGAAGTGTCAGCTCTTTGCTCAGAAGCAGTCTAAAATATGATTGGAATATTAAGAATTATTAAGAAAAGGGTACAGAGTGACTTTGTGACTTTGTAGTGTAAATGGTAGCCCACCCTTTTGAAGATGGCTTGCGCCTCTTGGAGCATAGCAAGAGCAGAGAAGGGATTGAGAAATGACGGAAGTGATCAAAGATGTAGACCAGCTTCTGTACAAGGAACAGATTCCTCAACTTGAACAAGACACAGTAGGAGAAATAAGAATTTTGCTGTCATGACTGCAAGTGGAAGAGTGGACGAAGGAACAAGGATTTCCTGCCTTTTTGGACAGATCTTGGGGTTCCACTGGAATCTGTGAGCAGCTGACTTAAGCCCTGCAAAAGCAAGACATTTTTTAGGTGAAATGTAATTAAATTGTGAAACTGGAACCCTGCCTTTAGCCTCCCCCTTCTTGCATGGGAGCACCCAGCCAGATCCATTGCCCTGTTTAGCTCCATGTCCTGTTCTGGGCAGTACTCCATAGCAGAAAGCTAGGGAAGAGGAAGGAACTGAAACAAGGCTCCTGTGGAGGTGTCATGGGTTTGCATGGCCAGGTTTGGGTAGCAGGGGGGGTTTCAGGCGTGGCTGCTGTGAGAAGCTGCCAGAAGCTTCCCCCATATCAGACAAAGGCAATGCCAACCAGCTCCAGGATGGACCTGCCACTGGCCAAGGCTGAGGCAATCAGGAGTGATAGTGATGCCTCTGTGATAACATATTTAAGAAGGGGAAAAAAATTATCGGGCAGATGTAATTGTGGTCAGAGAAGAGTGGAGTAAGAATATTTAAGAGGATATAGTAGAAAACTATATGTGTGTGGGGGTGGGTGGGTGGGTGTATGTGGGTGTATATGTATGAGAGGATAGCAGAAAACTCTGCAGACACCAAGCTCAGTGGAGAAGGAGAGGGAGGTGCTCCAGACACCAGAGCAGAGATTCCCCTGCAGCCCCTGGCGCAGAACATGGTGAAGCAGCTGTGTCCCTGCAGCCCATGGAGGACCACGGGGATGCAGAGAAACACCTGCAGCCCCTGGAGGAGACCCACACTGGAGCAGGTGGATGCCTGAAAAGAAGGCTGTGAACCCATAGGAAAGCCATGCTGAAGCAGGCTCCTGGCAGGGACCTGCAGACCCATGGAGAGAGGAGCCCACACTGGAGCAAGTTTCCTGGTGTAGGACTTGTGATCCTGGGGGAGACCCACACTGGAGCAGACTGTGCCCGAAGGACTGCACCCCATGGAAGAGTGACCCACATTGCAACTGTTTGTGGAGAACTGTTGCCCGTAGGATGGACTCACGCTGGAGAAGTTTATGGAGGACTGTCTCCTGTGGGAGGGATCCCATGTTGGAGCAGGAGAAAGACTTCTCTCCCTTAGCAGTGGCAGAAAGATGTGATGAACTGACTGTAACCCCAAGTCTCCATCTCCCTGTGCCACTGGGGGAGGAGGTAGAGCTTGAGAAGGAGGGAGGGGAGGGGTGAAGGTGTTTTTAAGATTTATTTTAATTCTCATTATCCTGCTCTGATTTTATTAGTAATAAATTCAGTTAATATCCCCAAGTTGAGTCTGTTTTGCCTGTGATATTATTTGGTGAGTGATCTCTCCTGAGTCTGTAAGAACACCAGGGTCTGTAGACTCCATCTTTAGCCTCTTCCTCACTAAATTCCTAGAGCTGGATCCTCTGACTGGGCCTGAGCAGGGCCTATGTATCTGCATCAATTCCAGGTATTAGCTTGCCGCAGAGAACTTTTCTTGCATTCTAGACCATTCAAACTCCAGTTCATTCTTCTTTTAAATTTCTTTCTGTCTGTTTTCTATTCTGTTTCTAATATTTCTATATATTTCTGTTTGTTTCTATCATATTTATTTAATGCTTAAGTTCTGAGACTGTTGTGATGGATATTGGAAATCAGTCCCTATCCTGCCTTGCTTACAAGAGGTAGAAGGATGGAGGGGAAATCCCCCATAGATGTCTGTGAAGGTAAATTGGCTTGTTGTGATGAAGTAAATTCTCAGTAGCATGAGCCAGAGGGGAGAAAACATATAAAAAATCTCCTTCTACTCCGGTGCAATTCTCACTTGGGACTACCCAGTCTGTTTTATGCAAGGGAGATGGGAACTAGTGAAAACAGTTTGTTGAAAGCCAGATAAAGGTTGCAAGATTTGGTGGACTAGGAGATTTTGTACTTGGACTTTACTACCTTTCTCTCACTAGAATAATTTAACTTCAGATCTTATTTCTTGAAAGTAAATGCAGACTTTTCTTCCCCTTGTCATACAGGAGTTTGTACTGTCAGAGGTGGTGTCTCCAGCAAAGGACAGTTTGGAGTATCGCACCTAGTAGGAGTGGGAAGTTGTTGAAGATTTCTGCGGTGGACTTGCACAAAAAAACGCAAAGTAAAACTTCTGCTACTGATGTTGTGGTGTGGTGCTCTAAACTACTGATGGGGGATATGTGTGAAGGCTCATCCAGATGCATGTAGACTGTTTTTGTGAAATAAGTAGATGGCCTCAAAGTTTTGCAGCTGCTGGAGGAAAAGAGAGACTGTGTGAAGAACAACAATTAAGACTAGAGTGGATATGGCCAGAAAAAGAGAACAGATGTCCCTAGGGCAAATCCCAGGGCATAGAGAAAATTCTGTCACTCCTGTTAGCGCTTCACCTCTTTGAGAGAGAATGTTCCAGTCTCTCATTTCTGATTCTGTCTTCTGCCCCCTTTTACTTACAGGCCCTTTCATGCTTCTTTGCTACATCTTTCTTAGAGTAAGGAATTAGTGTTTCTTCCTTGTTTTCTGTGAACTCCTGGAAGGCACTATAGATGTTTGGGGACAGGTGATTTTTCTCTCCTCTGTTGACTTGCAGACCCACATGTGGCAGAAGTACCTTAAGAAAAGCACTGCTATGAGTGATTGACCTCATCCAAGTAGAAGGAGTTTCACTCCTTGGGGCATGACTTGCTGGGCTGCTCTTGGGTCCTGTTGTTGGAGCAGATATTGCCAAGCAAGCTTGAAAACTTGTGTTGTCCCTTATGACTTGTTAGTGACTTTCCAAGAAGAGATAAACCACTTTTCCTCCTGCTCTAACAATTGGAGCTCCTGCGAGCTGGTTTCCATCCCACTGCTATACCAAGAGTGGGCTTTGCCTATTCTACTGGTGGTTGTTGCTGGAGGAGCAAAGCATCAAGGTTCAGGAGATGTAAGAGAAGGAGCAGTTAGAGGACAAGTGCTAGCAAGCTCTGCTTTCCTGAGTCCTGCTTGGCATATGGTAGTTACATCAACTGCTTTGTGCTTTGTCCCAATTTTTTCCTGCTCTAGGTGCTTTCTGGATAATGGCGAAGATGGTGAGAAGAACATGTGCATTTTGTTCAGAAGGGGCGGCTGGTTCTGTAATGTATATTGCCAAAGAGAGCGATATTGCAGCTCATCAGGATTGTCTGGTGAGTGGCTTTTAGTCGGTTGCTACCTAAGACCAGTGGAGAAGAAGGGATAAGGGGGAAATTTCCACTGCTTTTTTGTTCTTGACTTTACAGTAGTGTCTGATTTGAAAGGCAAGTTTATATTAGATTGAAAAGCTATGAAAAGCAGCAGGGCTTGGCCAGAATTTTGGAGTGGGAGAGGCCATGGCTGCACAGCTGGACCTGTTGATTTTTGGTGTTTGCATGTGTGTCTGTTGCTGATCAGTGATTCAGGCACACATACAGTCTACTAGTAGTAATAGGTCTTGTCAAGACACTAAGTTGGATAAGACGGAAGTTCTTATCTACACATAGGAAGTTGTGTACTTACTGAAACCTTTGCAGGAAAGTATTCACTTGATACATGAAGGTAAAAAAACTTCCCGGTCCGTGCCTTATTTAAAATAAGAAGTAAAAATATCAGAAATTTATTATATAAAAATATCTGTGAAGCTTGTGCTGTGATCCTAGAACGCATTTACTTTTCTTGCTGTCAGAATGCCTCCCCTTTATTCTGGAATCTTGGTGGAACTGGTTCTTGGTGTGCAGAATTAAGTACAGATGCTGTATTCTCCCTTCAGGAGAAGGAGAATATAGCTGAGGGTCATTTAGTGCAGGAAATGTCTGCTGCTAGAACAGTTTTCTGGTTTTTGCTGTTCCAGCCTTCTTATTCTCGCAGTTTTTGTGTGTACATCTTTATTTTTCAGCTACCTTTTTTGGTTGGTTAGTTCTATTTGTCACAGAATATTTCAGAAACATTTGATACCTCTTTTACAGTATTACTTGGATGTTTTGTTTGAAACGGGTTTTATTAGGGCTTTAATGTTGAAAACTTCTTCCTCGCTCTTCTCTCTCTCTTCTTCTTTCTTTCCTGCCAGCAACTCTGCTCTTTTCTTTGCCTTAGACTTATCTGTGCTGTTTGGCTTTTTGCAGTTAGCTATCACATTCTGAGCAGACAGACTGTGCCTGCCAGTTGATGAAAGGGTAGCTCCCTTTTGTTTGGAATCAGCTATATACAATTATTAGGAAATAGTTGTCAAGAACTTCCCCTTCCTCACTCATCATCATGGCTCAGCAGTTCTGTGGGAATTAAAGTGGCCCAAATGTACATGTATATATTTTTTGTGGATTTCTCCTAGGCTTTGTACAATGTTCCTATGTTTCTCATGCAGTCAACTCTTGTCAGCATTGGGCTGTATGGAAATCTTATCAGAGAGAAATATTGCATCCAGCTGTAAGTCTGAACAACTGAGCACATAACAAGATGTTCAAGGTGTGGAGGTCTGTTGACTTCTCCTCCTTACTCTGGGCAGGCTGGAATTCCACATTTTTTTCATTCACGTTCCTTAATAAGTTTCTTACCTCATTATCTTTTCTTAGTTCACTTTCACGTCATGTGAAATCTCTTGTGTAGAAAAGGAGCTTCCTTTGTCCGCAAAAATATTTAAGCACAGCTCCTTATTTAGTGTAGGTGAAACCTATTAAAAACACAGAGAAAAATTAACCTCCTTAGGTAGGGCAAGTGCAAGAAGAAAAGATGTGCTCTTTGTCTCTTTTCTGCACTGGTGACTGAGTCACTCTTATTTCTTAATATTTTCCCTTTTGTCTTTAGTTATTTTCCTCAGGATTTGTGGAATCTGAAGAATATAACCCAGAAAATCTGGATATAAGGTTTGATGTGGCATCAGTGTTGAAAGAGCTCAGGAGAGGAAAGCGGCTGGTAAGGAGTTTGTTTCTGAATCTGCAGTTAGTCCAGTCTCATAGTACTGAAGGTTATCTGGCCTGTTCTGTGCTTTAAAAAAAAACACATAAAAATACCTAGTCCTTCTGATCTACTAAGATTAGGGAAATTACAGATTTAGTGTTAGAATCACTAGCATTATATGCTGTGGAATTTAGTTCATTCTGTATTAAAATGCAGGTGTTTATTTGTTTCTGACCTCTAAGTCCTTAGTCGAAGTTTCCTAAGACTTTGGTAAAGGACTAAGCCAGTGCTTGAAACAAAAGCATGCAATCCATGAGTGTAAAGGGAAGCACTTTCTGTGTTTAGCAGAAGGAAGGTCATTTATATGAGGGGTTGTTTTGTAATTGGTTTTGTCTTCAGCTGCTCTCCTCCCCTGCATCCTGAGTGGAACTCTTTTCATTATGAAGTTATCCTAGAAAACATAAATACAAACACTAATTCCCGTTGGTCTTGAAGTAATTTGGGGAAGTTATCCAGTGCCCTCACATGGCTGTTTGCATCATCTTACAAATGTATCTGTATAACGTAGAGGTAAAGGTAGCAAAAAGGTGGCTGAAATTATGACCAGGACAGGAGTTTGCAGGAGTGAGCTTGCCTAATGAGTTACACATAGGTGACTTGCAATGAAATATTGGATTTTCCCACAGAGGATGATATTTGCCTTACGTGGCAAGATTTTCAGTAGCCGACTGTGGCATTTACATGCTACACCCCGTCTTGTTCTAGGTGTGCAACTTCTGCCGCAAGAAAGGAGCCACTGTGGGCTGTGAGGAGAGAGCCTGCCGCAGGAGCTACCACTACTTCTGTGCGCTCTGCGACGACGCAGCCATAGAAACCGACCAAGTGAAGGGAGTCTACCGGTATTTACCCAAGTGTTTTCTGACTAAGCACTGTCAGCATTTTTATGGTGGTGATGGTGGTGTCGGGAAGAGAGGCTTAAAAATCATGTGGTTTTTAACGTTTTTTTAGAACAGGAAGTGTTTTCTTCTCTCTTAAAGTGATGCTTGATCATCCATTTGCAGGCACTGGGGGAAACATTTTTCTTTCACATGAAAACTTCACAGCAGTGGGAGGGAATCTATTTAGGGTTTGAGCCTATAACATACCTGAAAGTTCACTAGGCCAAAACTGAGGCAGTCAGTCCCTACTGACTACCTTGCTTCAAGGACCAAGATTTTTATTAATGTCACAGAAATTCTCAATTTTTTTTTTGTTCAGAGGCTCCAGTAAATGCAGTCTGAGCACAGAGTAGGCTATAGTACTTCTAGATCTGTTCACATCAGGCAAATTCTGGTAATTTTCCCTCCCTATGCTAGCAGAGAACTTAGAATCCATTTAGTTGTGTTAATGCCAGTAGTGTACTTGAAATACAAGGCCTTTGGTGGGAATCAAAGTAAAGTTTCTGTCCTGATCATGCTAGTTCTGGTGTCCACTGCCCTTGGGCTGCCTGCGTTGCCATTAACAGATGGAACAAGTTGTTTGGAGGATGCACATGAAACAGTTGAGAAATTGGGACTTCAGGGACCTTTTGAAATGCTGAAGTTGTGGTAAAGTCTAAGGTGCATAAAACCCCTGATGTTCGTTTCTGTGCAAGGCCAGAGAGATCACAGGCCAGGTTAGCCTTAGATTAGTCTGGGGGATCATCTAATCGCTATTTGTTTCAAAAAGCAATGGACTACTGCTGTCTTTAGTAGCAGTGGAAGATGGGTCCTTTTGTATCAAAACACTTGCACTCCTGGCTGTTTCACTAGGGCTGTTGGTCTAAAATGCAAGGCAGTAAGCCCAGCTGTATAGGGAAGATGGTATGTTTAGTTTATGCTTGTAAAGTCTTTGGAAGTCTGCCAAGCTCATGAAAGAGTGCAGCTGGGAAGATGGAAACTTCCTGTGATCACAGAATAAATGGCTTTCGTTATATATCTTTAGAAAGGATAACTCGGGCTCAAGAAGACTGAACTTCTCAAGGTGTTGAAAAATAAGTGGAACCGTCTAGGTAGAAACTGGTAAAGGAGTGGTTGAATATATAATTTGATGTGGTGGGTTTTTGAGCTGGTGACCTTGGAGGTTTGGAAGAGAGACCCTTAAAAATGTCACTGTGAGACTAGCTGTGTGTCCTACATAGATGTAATACGGGAAACTAGACTATAGCAACCTGTATTGAAGGGATGGGAAAGGGTTAGGGTTAGAAAAAGATAGTGAGGCAGGCTTCAAGGATTTGAACCTAAAGATTTTTTGCACAGTATCAATGGCAAAAATTGTAGCTAGCCTGAAATTATTGGAGAGTAGACTTGAAAAACAGTGAATGTGGACTGACAGCCCCTGCACTTTTTCGTGGTGAAATATGACATACTGAAAAGCACATCAAGGGAGAGAATTCCGAGAGAGATGGAGCTGGTGATTTTAAATTCTGAGTTGCCATTGTTGTGATGATGAGCAGTGATTATCAAAACAATAGAGCAGCAGCAAAAAGAGAAGGCGTACAGTGCTGTGGAAGTGACCAGTAAGAGTACAGGTGGGGAAATAAGTACAATTTGTTATGTTGTCCTGCAAAATTGATAGTAGGGAAGTGCTTCCAAATAAAGTGGCCTAAGTAGTAAAATATATTGTCTGTTCTTTATAAGATATTCTTGTGCTTAGGAGGGTTGTTTCTAACTGGGAAAGACTAGAATTGAAGGGAGGGGAAGAAATAAAAACATTCTCCAGAGGGCAATATTAGAAATTCAGGGATGTAAATAAGGTGTCCCCATTACTTAGCTTTCTGATTGAGTTGTTAGGCATACCTAAATCTGATTTTTTTTGTGCATAAAAATACATTTCATGCAAAAAAGCTGGCTCATCGAGGAAATGGACTGCGTTTCTAAGGGCAGTGCTTCCATTTTTGTTAAAATAAAAGAATGACAATAATTAGAAAATGTCCTAGTAAATGCAGTTCCCTTTAAAAATTGCTTCCAAGGGCTTGGCAAATAGATTCATAAGGAAGAGTTCAACTAAATCATGCTCTTTATAAGGCATTTTTGCTTAAAAAGTGAATTGGGATCCTTCTGTAAGAAAGGCATATTATAAAAGCTGGTTCATGTTCTCTGCGCATTATTGTAACCAGAAGATAAGGAATATTTCCAGTTATATTTGTTGCATTTTGCCTCTTCCAAGGAATTCACGTTGCTCTCCTAGAAACAGTGAAAATATTCCCATCTTGCATACTACTAAAGCCTTTGAGGAATTAATTGAGCAGCTTTAAGCTACTGGATCTCAAACAGGGTTCCCTACTTCCTCAGGATTTGTGAACCACCTTGTCAGCACAGGCAGTGGGAGCGGAGGGGCACAGAGATCTATGTAATGGTTGAATTATTGTATGGACACAGTTTCCATGTACAAGACTGAATCATTTATTAATTAAAACTTTCGGTATGTATAGGGTTTGTGGAAGGAGGGACAGACATTCCATTCATAGCCAGGATTAAGGGTCCAGGAAACAGAGGGAGATGCTTTTCATCAAATAGATAGGCAGGCATTTCTTTATCACAATTTACAATGATAGGTGGGGCAAATCAAAGTCACAAAGAGATCTACCACAGTCTACAAGTGTGCTTGCTTATCTTGCTTTTGTTTAGATCCCAAGGCTTCTTGCTAAGATCTCTTCTTATTTCTGCTGTGTCATAAAGAACTTACATTCCAACAGATCTCCAAGCAAGTCACTGGCGCTGTATGTGGTGGTGCTGTGCAGCTCTGCCGGCACATGGAGCAGGGCTTGTAAATTCAAGCTGGCTGGTGAGCAGGTGTGGCAGGAGAGGTTCCTGGCCTGGTGGTGCAGGGCGAGAGAGCAGAATGTTAGTTCTGTGGTATTTTGCCTTGGCAGCATTAACCTCGTTTCAATAAGAGTTGCCTCTGACACAGTGATCACCACATCAGATGAAGTGTGTCTGACTTGGGATTTGAACAGTGGGCGGGTCCAAGCAGAATGGGCTGATGGAACTGGTCATACAAGGCTTCAGTGTTGAGAGTCCAGCGAGGCTCTAAAAGTAGAGATAGAAGGTTGTGCATGGCCTGTGACTTCACAGCAGGTGCCTTCCTAAGTGGGTAATGCTGAACAAAAATTCTGATAATTTTTTTTAAGTGTCTTTCAGTTTATATTTAATGAAAAGAGGGGGAAATATCTGTTAAAATCAGCCAGCATAACTCTGTTTACATATTTATTAACATTTTTTCTCTTTTTCTTAAAATTGAACTTAAATTTTAGAGTGTTCTGCCCAAAACATGACCCAAGCAATAGGACCAGTCACTATGGTGAGTTTCTTTAACGCCTTCATTGATTTCATTTGTTCTAAAATTTTGCATCCTACAGTCAATAATTCATTTGAACACAATAAATGTTACTCCACCTTCATATTGAGTGGTGGATTTCCAATCTTGCAGGAGTGGTTTGGTTGAGATCCACATGGATGCACAAAAATCAAGAAGGTCTTTTGAAGTATGTTTAAATTTAATTGAGGAATGTTTAAATTTAATCTTCCCTAAATCTCCCTCAAAACTGACTTAAACCACCATGGACCTGATCCTTTTTGGAATTATTCTGACTCTGTTCCGGCAGGTAGGCCCAGGCAGCTTGTAAAGCCCACATGAGACAGGAGAGCCATGCACAAGTTTGTACTTGATTAGCAAAGAGAGGCTGTTACGGAAGAAGTCACCTTGAGATTTTATCTGTAGTTATGTTCAAACATTCACATTTGCGTCTTCTGTTTTCAATGCAGTAGTTTCTAAAATAGAGCCTTTCATTCTGAAGGATTCCAAAGAACTTTTTCAGTGTAACAAAAGGGTTATACAACCTGTTCAAGGATTGCTTCCTGTGCTACAGAAATGCAGCTTAATTTGGCAGTCTTGATCCTTGCTGATTCAGAGGTAGTTGGAAATCTCACTGAATTAACCAGCCAAAGCTGGACTTTATTAATCTAATGCATGCAACCCTGCTCAAAGTGAAGTGGGTCCTAGACTGGCCTTTGAAGTGAAGCTCAGTTGGACTGTGAGCATTCATAGAATCATAGAATCAGCAGGGTTGGAAGGGACCTCCATGATCATCAAGTCCAACCCTTGATCCACTACCACCGTGGTTACTAGACCATGGCACTAAATACTACATCCAGTCTCATCTTAAAAACCTCCAGGAACGGAGAATCCACCATTTCCCTGGGCAGCCCATTCCAATGCCTGATTACCCTCTCTGTAAAGAATTTCTTCCTAATATCTAACCTAAACCTCCCCTGGCACAGCTTAAGACCATGCCCTCTTGTCTTACTGCTGATTGCCTGGGAGAAGAGACCAACCCCCACCTGGCTACAACCTCCTTTCAGGGAGTTGTAGAGAGTGATGAGGTCTCCCCTGAGCCTCCTCTTCTCCAGGCTGAACAACCCCAGTTCCCTCAGCCTCTCCTCATAGGACTTGTACTCAAGTCCCTTTACCAGCCTTGTTGCTCTTCTCTGGACCTGCTCCAGCACCTCAATATCCTTTCTGAACTGAGGGGACCAGAACTGGACACAGTACTCGAGGTGTGGCCTCACCAGCGCTGAGTACAATTCCCTGGACCTGTTGGCCACACTGTTCCTGATCCAGGCCAGGATGCCATTGGCCTTCTTGGCCACCTGGGCACACTGCTGGCTCATGTTCAGCTTCCTGTCAATCCAAACTCCCAGGTCCCTTTCTGCCTGGCTGCTCTCCAGCCACTCTGTGCCCAGCCTGTCGTGCTGTTGTTGTGGCCAAAGTGCAGGACCCGGCACTTGGCCTTGTTGAACCTCATCCCGTTGGAATCAGCCCAACTCTCCAGCCTGTCCAGGTCCCTCTGCAGAGCCCTCCTGCCTTCCAACTGATCGACACTCCCCCCCAGCTTAGTGTCATCTGCAAATTTGCTGATGATGGACTCAATCCCCTCATCTAAATCATCAGTAAAGAAATTAAACAGAACTGGGCCCAACACTGATCCCTGGGGGACACCACTAGTGACCGGCCGCCAGCTGGATGCAGCACTGTTCACCACCATTCTCTGGGCCCAGCCATCCAGCCAGTTCCTAACCCAGCACAGAGTGCTCCTGTCCAAGCTGTGGGCTGCCAGCTTTTTCAGGAGTATGCTGTGGGAGGCAGTGTCAAAGCTTTTGCTGAAGTCCAGGTAGACTACACCCACAGCCTTTCCCTCATCCACCAGGCGGGTCACCTGATCATAAAAGGAGATCAGGTTGGTCAGACAGGACCTACCTTTCCTAAACCCCTGCTGGCTGGGTCTGATCCCTTGTCCATCCTGTAGGTGTTGTGTGATTGCACTCAGGATGATCTGCTCCATAACCTTGCCAGGCACTGAGGTCAGGCTGACAGGCCTGTAGTTTCCCAGGTCCTCCTTCCAGCCCTTTTTATGGATTGACGTGACATTCACCAACTTCCAATCATCTGGGACCTCCCCAGTGAGCCGGGACTGTTGGTAAATGATGAAGAGCAGCTTAGTATGCTCTTCCGCCAGCTCCCTCATCACCCTAGGGTGGATCCCATCTGGTCCCATAGACTTGTGAGCATCCAAGTGGCTCAGCAGGTCACTAACTGTTTCCTCCTGGATTACAGGGGAGCTATTCAGATTCTTATCTCTGTCTACAAGCTCCAGAAGCCAGCTGTCCTCAGGACAACCTGTCCTGCTGTTGAAAACTGAGGTAAAGAAGGTGTTAAATACCTCAGCATTTTCCTTATCTTTTATAACTATATTCCTGCCCATGTCCAACAAAGAATGGAGGTTTTCTTTGCCCCTCCTTTTGCTATTGATGTGTCTGTAGAAGGACTTTTTGTTATCCTTCACAGAAGTGGCGAGATTCAGTTCAAGTTGTGCCTTCGTCTCTCTAATTTTCTTTCTACATGACCTAACTATATTCCTAAACTCTTCCTGTGTAGCCAGCCCTTTTTTCCATAATCGGTAGGCTCTCTTCTTTACCCTAATTTCCTTCAAAATCTCCCTGTTCAGCCAGACCGATCGTCTTCCCCACCGGCTCGCCTTTCGTCACACTGGGACAGCCTGCTCCTGTGCTTTCAAGATTTCCTTCTTGAAGCGTGTCCATCCCTCCTGGACCCCCTTGTTTTCAAGGGTTGTTTCCCAAGGTACCCTCTGAACTAGTCTTCTGAATAGGCCAAAATCTGCCCTCCGGAAGTCCAGCGTAGAGGTTTTATTGATGGCCCTCCTTGCATCCCTGAGTATTGAAAACTCTGTTATTTCATGTCACTGTGCCCCAGACGTCCACCGACCACCACATCTCCCACCAGCCCCTCTCTGTTTGTGAACAGAAGGTCTAGTGGGGCTCTATCTCTGGTAGGCTCATTTAGCAACTGGAGCAGGAAATTATCCTCTATATGCTCTAGGAATCTCCTAGACTGCCTCTTCTCCACTGTGTGGAGTTCCCAGCAGACATCTGGCAGGTTAAAGTCACCCATGAGAACAAGGGCTGGCGATTTTGAGACATCTGTCAGCTGCCTGTAGAATAATTCATCATCCTCATCATCCTGATTGGGTGGTCTGTAACAGACTCCCACCAGGATGTCAGCCTTGTTGGCCTTCCCCTTGATTCTGATCCACAGGCACTCAACCTTATTGTTACTGACTTCAAGTTCCACAGAGTCAAGAGACTCTCTAACATATGGAGCCACCCCTCCACCTCTCCTACCTTGTCTGTCCCTTCTGAAGAGCTTGTAGCCATCCATGGCAGCACTACAGTCATGCGAGTCATCCCACCACGTTTCCGTGATGGTGACTACATCACAGCTTTCCTGCTGCACGATGGCTTCCAGCTCCTCTTGTTTGTTACCCATGCTGCATGCATTGGTGTACATGCATTTCAGCTGGGCTTCTGATTTCACTCTTAACTCGGGCTTTCCACCCTTATGCTCCTCTCTGGAGAGCCTGGTTTCAATCCCTTCCCCCTTCAAACCTAGTTTAAAGCCCCCCTGATCAGCCCTGACAACTTATGGGCTAGAGTCCTTTTGCCCTTTCTAGATAGATGAAACCCATCTGATTTGAAGAGACTAGGTACCATGGAATTTGCCCCATGGTCAAAAAAAACCAAAATTCTGCCGATGGCACCACTCCTTTAGCCAGCTATTGATGAGTTTTCCTAGTCCTCTCCTCATTCATCCCTGCTACTGCAGGAACTGAGGCGAACACCACCTGTGCTCCTGTCCCATTTACTAATTGACTCGGTGCCTTGAAGTCCTTTTTAATCGCCCTGGTACTTTTTCCATTAATATCATTAATGTCATTAATGTCATCGCTGCCAGCCTGGACTACCAGTAGTGTATAATAATCTGAGGGCTGAATTACCTCAGGGAGTTTCCTACTAATATCCCTTACCCGGGCCCCAGGAAGGCGGCAGACCTCCCTGTGGGATGCGTCTGGTCAACATATAGGGCCCTCAGTTCCCCTCAGAAGGGAGTCACCAACTACAACTACCCCTCTTTTTTTCTTTATAGCTGTGGTTGTAATCCGTCTGGTAGACGGGGTGCAACCAGGAGACCCTCCAGACGGATCTTCCTCTTGACTGGCCTCTACCTGATTCTGTGGGTCCAGGGCCTCATACCTGTTCTTTAAGGGCACCTGTTCTTTAAGGAGGTGATGGGGGTCGGGAGGGGATTCTTTTACCAATCAGGGACCTGTTTCCACTCCCCCCCATCTACTTGGTTTGCTCCATCTGCCTGATGGCAGGAGGGGCAGGGCTTCACTGTCTCCTGCTGAACTTCTTTTGGGGGCAAAAGGGGGCCACTCCACCAGTCAATTTCCCTTTCACTTTCCCTAATGCTTCTTAGCTTCTCTACCTCTTCCTTGAGCTCTGCCAAGAGAGTGGTGTGCTCCCACTGAGGTCTAGCAAATTTTGACTAATCTTCTTGACAAAGTCCTGCTCCACCATGATGGCACTTAAGAGGTTATTTAAACTCTTAGTCATAGGGTCTGGGGCTTCTTAGCCAGTCATATGGTCTGTTTAATATCTGATATTGCTGTGATTCACTAACCAAATGCAGTTTCTTAGTTTACCTAGCAGCTCTGCTTTTTATTTATCCATAGTTCTGAGTTCTGACCTTCCTTCCTTTTTTAAAATTAATTTGATTTCTTTAGTCTAATGGTTGTCAGTCTGTTGGGTCTGTCTAGGGTCCCAGGTGGTTTCCTGCCCAAGTACTGGACAGGGCCATGATTGCTTTGTTTCCAGTATGAGATTAAGGTATTAGATCTAGCCCTGTAGACCACCTCCTTCATAAGGAGGGCTTAAATCTTATGAAATCGAATCACAGAATGGCTTGTGTTGGAAGGGACCTTGAAGATCACCGAGTTCCAATCTCCCTTCCACTAGACCAGGTTCTCAAAGCCCCATCCAGCCTGGCCTTGAATGCTTCCAGGGATGGGGCAGCCACAGCTTCCCTAGGCAACCTGTTCCAGGGCCTCACCACCCTCACAGGAAAGAGTTTCTTCCTAATATCTCAACCCACCTTCTTTCAGTTTGAAGCCATTCCCTCTTGTCCTGTCACTACATGCCCTTGTACAAAGTCACTTTTCAGCTTTCTTGTAGGCCCCCTTTAGGTACTGAAAGGTCTTTGTGTTGTCAAATGTTGCACTTGCAGTGTATGGCATATTCCCTGAGAACAGAGTTTTCTCCTAGAGTTCTTCCAGAGGCACCTAATTTGGAGACCCTCTGAGAGGTAAATGGATTCTGTTGGCAGTGTCTGCCCTGCCTCCTAAATCAGCTTCTCCTACCTGTTTGAGAGAGTAGCTGTTCCCCAAGCCGAAGGTCTCTTTCTTATAAGCAGATCTCAGATGCACACGTGGCACTCAGAATAGCTGGGGGAATCAGCTGGTGAATCGGCTGAAGTAGCAGGTGCTCTGTCTGGGCCATCTAAGCAGGCAGGGGATGCCTGTGCTGAGGTGTTTGCAATCTGCATAGGGTGGTGAGGGAGACAGGCTGGGGTGGAAGTGCTCTGGCTGCATGGTAGTTCTGACTTTCAGGATCCAGCTTGGATGAAGTAACTCAACTGTTCCTCTGGGGCAAGCAGAGCCAGCACTGGGCTGTGTGGGAGCACAAGCTGCCTCTCCAGGCCTGTTTTCCCCAGTAGCTTCAAGAAAATAGGGCCAAGGAATATCCCCTTGTTCTTTGTTGAGACAATGTTCTTGTGCTGAATTGTCGGGGCTCTGCTGTTTGATTGGAAGCAGATAAGATGCCTTAGGGGCCAAGAACTCTCCTTGCAACTCTACATGGGGAGAGGGCAGCTTCACATGGGAGGGCAGTTTGGGCTTGGAAACAGGCTCCAACGTCTGTTTAACTGGAAATGTTAGATGTGGACAGAGTAAAGGCTGACAGAGCAGCAGGTGCTGTGCAGGGCGGGAGGGGTTGGGCTACTCTTTGGACTGCGTTCCTCTTGTTGTATAAGGTGTCCTCATGGCAAATATCAGGGAGAGTTTAGAAAATCCCATCACATGTCAAAGATGTTATGCAAGGAACACTTTGTATCTACACCCATGTCTCCTGGACACAAATTAGGCCATGCAGCTTTATTTTGGATCACGTCAGAGACTATAATTTCCTTTCATGCCGTGAAAAATGCAAATGTACGGCATCAGTACCCAAAGCCCAAACTTGTTTCAACAGCCTCCTCGTACAACGACTCCTCATTCCTTTTGACAGGATGACTTCTAACAGGAAAGACCTTACTAAAGTGCTGTCCAGAGGTTCTGGACTTAAATACAGAAGGCAGCATATAACCCCACTGCACTTACAACTCTCAGGTTTTGTTGGGTGGTTGAACTGTTCTCAGGATTTCTCTGCTCCTGCCATGTCTTCCTTGCCAGAGTTATCCTTCTCTGATACTGTAGCTGTTTCCAAAAGCTGCCAGTTAGGCTGTTGGCAAGAGGCTGGTGCATGCTAATGGAAAGGACACAGTGAAAGCAGATGATTTTGCAGAGATCTCGTAATTCTTTATGCAGTCTTAATTTTGAGGGTGTATTGACATAAACAAGAATTGTCTTAAAAAAAAAGAAGTCATCTTTTATAAATTTGCCAGAAGTTTTTACCATTAGAGGTAGTGCTGCTGCCAGGAAAAATAAGTTCACTCTGCAACAATCAGAAATCTGCTGAGTTTAAAAGGTAAAGTGATATTCTAATGCTACAGTGATTTGCATGTTTTCCTAATGGTTCAGGGTTGTAATTTTTCTTAAATGGAAATAACGTGAATTCCACTGAAATGTCAGGTATTTGGGGAAGCTGAAACATACTCTTGCCTTGCCACCCAAAGTGCCTCACTTGAGTAGCTTTTTGGGATAAAAAGAGTTTGAATGATGTGTAGTCATCAGTCTGAGGTTGTTGCATTTGTTTCTTTGTTGTTTATTGATTCCTAGGTGCAGCTAATAAGAAGAGAAGATATACATTGACATCTGCCATCGCAGAAGAAATGGTAATTCTGAATTTCAGCAGTTCTAAAACAGAAACCCGCATCTGCTACAGCAGATTTAGTGAAGTATTTTGACTGTGTGTTCAGAGGAAGACTTCCTCACGAAAGCAGTTTGCTTGTCCTTTACAGCTGCCTTGTTTGGATCTTGCCATTCCGTCAAACCAAAACTGTTTGCATTTGAAGCCGCTTCAGGCAGAGCTGGCATTGCCCTCGGGTAATGTGGCAATTACACTATAAATGCAGTAGGACCCTCCAAACCAGGCTGATTTGGTGGCTGTGATCCTGGCATGGGCAGAAAGGGCTTCCCTTTGGGGGCTCCATTTCTTTGGAAGTACAATGCCCCTCAGGTTTGCTTAGGGCTTGACACGGCTTCCACGAAAAACTGCTTTTGATGAGTCAGTTGGTCTTTTAAACCTGCACTTGTTTGTGTGAGCACACTGTGCTCATGGTAAGCCTGGCAGACTTTCATTGCAGATCAGGCAGTTCTGGACTCTGCAGATGGCCTTCCCAAGGGTTTGAAGCTATCAAGCAAACATCCCTCTGATTGCAGGGGGAATTGTTTTACAGGCTGTTGTTAGAAAACCTGTAAATAGAGCTTATTTTAAGTTTTGAGGTGATTCTCTTGGCTCTACAGAAGTGTGCGTGGGAATTCTCTTTGACATATGGAGGGATTGGGATTTCCTCTTTATAGAGGAATTGGTGTCCAGCTTTCCTTGGGGAAAATAGTCTGCCTTTCCCAGGTCTTGAGATTAAAGGGAGGTCACATGAGGGGATGTGGATGATCTTTGCAGCATTTATGTAGTACTGTCATAAGGGTTGGTTATTTTTCTCCAAGAATTTCTCAGCTGGTATTATAACTGAAATTTGTTTGACCAGTTAGCCACAGTATTGCTCTGTTTCTGGTCTTCTCCCATGCTAGTGATCTTGAAAATCAGTACAAACACTGCAAATAAAAAGGTGAGGGGTTCCAGGATTTATCACTGTGGGATAAATTGTTTACCACTGTGTAAGCAATGCACGTTTACACTGGTGGAGCTTTGGAACAGAACTGAAGAATTGTTCATAGTCCTGTGGTATGATGTGAAACAGGAGAGAATGACTGTTGTAGACGACGGGAAAAGAATACATGACCACAGAGATTGATCATGACTTATCCACTTTATTGTTGCAGGCTTTGTGCTTATATTGCATACATATTACAAGCGTAGGCTCATCATTGGCTTCTAATTACCTAAGTCATATTTGCGCAAATGCATTCTTATGGTTACTTATTTGCTACTTGTTCTGCTTTTCCCATCCTGTTGTTTTATCCTTCTATCACGTACGCAGTTTCAAAGACACAGTGACCTTCTAGCAGTTTTTCTTTACCGTGGGACCAAGGCTATAGCATCTTTCTCATGTCCTCTCTCTATCAACCACGTTTCTGTAATACTTTCCACAAATGACTGCATCCTGTCCAAAGGAAAACATTCCCCTTTTTCTTCCAAATCGTTCCCAGTATTACATCAGGTTTAGGGAGCTAAACATCATCTGCCCTGGGAGTTAGCAATAGACATTTGTTAACTTTTCTGCTATTTGCAAATGAAGTGATTAAGGAGGGTGTCCCAAGCGTTGGGCTTTTCTTAGTGTTTTTGCTTCCATTTTAAAAATTGAATGTCTGAAGAGGAATATCGCTAGCTGTGCAGAAAAGCTGACTGTATTCACAGAAATGTGGGCTGCTTTCTATCTTTCTGATAATGAAAACAGCAGTAAATGTTAGTATGATGTAAAAATATATTGTTTTGATTGTCTTACAGAAAACAGAAGAGAAAGCAGAAGAAAACCATTTCCAAACACTAAAAAGAAAAAACAACAGGCATAAAGGTGAGACTGACTTTATAGAGCAACTAGGAGGTATTATGATCTATTATGTTGAAGTCCAGAGCTTGGAGATAGCTGAGATGAGTGACTGTCCAAGCTCTGGCATGGCAGCAGAAGTCTGATTTGCAGAATGACTGTGCAGCAAACAAATGTCTGTGGTTTGGCTGAGTAAGACTTGCTGTGTGATGTAAGCTGTTGATTCACCTGAGAATGCCCCCGTTCTGGCTGCTGCGTTCAGCTCTGTGTCTCCTGCAAATGGGGGTGCCTCTGCCTGACCTCCCTCCTCCATATGAGTACAGCTAAATTTAAAAGGGAATCTGTCCTCCTTCACTTTAATCTCCTTGTCCTGAGCCCCTCCTGAAGGAGAGAGGTGAGTTCAGCATGGTGGTGCTCAGGAGTGGGTTAGCTGAGGAGGTGCTGTGAGATGTGGGGGCAGCATATCTTACCTTTTGAAGCCTGGGTGTACCTAGAATGCTTAACACAATATAGCATTTTACTGCATAAATAGGATATTACAACAGTGAAATGGACCACAGGACCCATCCTTCAGTGCTGCACTTTTCATGTTACCCTGAAACTCCTGCTGCAATTGCTTGTTGGGATTCTGCTGTCACCTGGAAGTTTGGAAGGTGCTGGTGGTGATTATTCACCTCCCTGTGGATATGCTTAGTGTATGGGCATGGTATTTCAGGTGGCTGCCTAGTGCTTTTTTCTGAATTTCTACTATCACTGTAAAGAACAGGGAATCTATAAAGAATCCTGAAATACTTGTAGGGCATCACATGTAAGTGAGATGACGTTTCTTTTCTCACAAATGTCTCCAGTAAAACATAGTGTTTTTAATGGAGACTGACAGACTTCTATGAACTGTCTGATAGCTCTTTCCTTTTGAACAGCCCGTTGCTCATTACTAAGACTTGTTGCTGACCTGCTGCTCCCAGATGAATTAAAAATAGACAGTTATTTCCCTAGCAATCCAAATCTGACAAAGTAGGTCTATAAAATGGGCTGTAATAAACAAGTTTAATGCCTGGATCATTTGGAGTAAAAGTAGCCTTAATTATTACTAAATCCAATACTGATTCACTTCTTGCACTGTTTTCTGGTGTGGTCCTAAGGATTGGAAGAAAGACAAGCAAGACAAATCACTCGCTTTCCTGTACTGGAGAGTTCCAGGAGTCTTTAGGAATGGTACATTTAGAGTTATTGAAATATTTGCTTTTGATGAATGAAGCTAAACCTAGAGCTTAGGGAATTTTACACCCAGCATAGTGCTTACATTTGCCAGACCGCTTTTTTGTTCCCATTGAAAAGGGCTGCGTGGGTAGCTGGAGGAGCCAGAGATTTGCAAAAATATTTGCTACCGGAGGGAAGATTTTCGCCAGAAAGTTTTAGTTTTAGTTTCTGAAGACAGGGAGTAAAGCCCACTTTACAGATCACTCCGTATGAGTGTGTTTTTGTGTTTTAACAGTCCAGATAGACCTTGTCAGGAAATGCAAACAAGCTGGGCTTCTAGATGACATATTTGAAGAAATGCTGGACACACTTCACCTGGCACAGGAAAAACTAATGGATGACAACACTTCAGAAACAGGTATGGAGACTTATGGGGGACTCTGCTCTCAAAGCAGAAATGCGGATCTGAATGCCAAGTACTTGGCCCTGGGCCACCTTCCTGGGGATACTGTAGTGCTAAATATAATCCCGTCTTATTTCTGCAGCTGTGCAGTGGGTTGAGAATGACCTTCCCTTTTAAATGACTGTTTAAAATTAAAATTCCAAGGAACTTTTCTCGACATTATGTAAGAGCTGCCAACTCAGCATGCTCTAGTGAGACCTTCTGACTTGAATTTTTGAAGCCACCTTTTACCCACTGGCATAAACATAGGGAGGCTCAGAGTGGCCTCTTCTCCCAGGCAGTGAAAAAGAGAGAGGTCCTGAAGAGAACTGGAAGGTTTTATTTGGGTCGTAAATCTGTGTTGCTCTTACAGCTTCACAGAGGGACCAGCTGTCTGTTAATATCAGCACTTCTGAGTGAAAAATCCCTGAGTATGTACATTTTAAGTCTTTGACTGATTTGTTACAACTGAACTGTCAGCTCTTAGTGCCTATCTGGGGTTTTCATCAGTTTATCAGCTTCTATGAAGTACATTGTTCTTGGGGAATTCCAGTTTAATGTTGCTTTGTCCACAACACCATTAAATAAAATTTCAAACTTTCCTCTCCTATTGTCCTCTCAGTTTTACAAAGTTATGAGTAATACCTTTGCATAAAGAATGCTATTTTATGCAAAGTGACTGAAGCACATGCATGGAAAGTGAAATTTCCCACCTAGATATGTCTTCCTTCACGAGCAGTTTGTGTGAGACATGACAGCAGCTGCTGGAAGCAGCAATGAAGTCCAGAACACATTAGAGATTAGAGTCTGCATCACGAAGGAAACCTCTTAATGGTCAGTTGAACTCTGTGAGCATTTTGTATTTTGCTTCAACAGAAGCTTCAGGTATGAAACTGACGCATAATTCTTGGATGGTTTCTAACACCGAACAGGAATAGCTCTGTCCCACACGTCACATGATCAGTCAGGGGGAATTGGTACGGTCAGCCCTGCCAGTCCTGACACAATGGAATGGAATATGACTTAAGTATATTGCTCTTTTTTTAAATGGACTGTTCATGTGGTGCAGACCCAAAAAGGGAATTATTTTCTATAGAGAACTAAAAAGAAAGTAGAATTGACAACTTGATCCTTCTTTCTCAATATAGGTTGTATGAGAAGGAAGACATCTTAAAACCTCAAGCAATCAGTATGATGGAAAATAAGTAACTACTGTTTTGTGTTACTTCTAATGTAGGGCTCTGGAAACCTTTACTCGGTAATATTAAGTCAAATTATCTCTTTCCCCAGAATATGAGGAGACAGTAATGGCACTGTTTGACTGTGGACTGTTTGAAAATATACTGACAAATATTCATTCAGGTACGTGCAGAAAAGCTGTCAGAGCAGTAGCAGTTGGTCTGGGTTTTGGCATTGAAGCTATTCTTCTGAGAATTTTGATAAAATGATAATTTAAAATGAAAATTCCAAGGAACTTTTTTTTTCAATATTATGTAAACTCTTGAATAAAAGCCATTGCTACTTGAATCTTTAGAAATACAGTATGCCAATTTTGCTGAAGGGGGCAGGCAACTCACAGTTCCATAGCTTTAAAAGACCAAAGGGTCCCTGCCCCAGGAAAACTCTCCCCTCCTGCAGGTTATTTTGGTTCCTTCTCTGCAGCCTCTCTTCAGTAGCTTGCCTGTGTTACAGTTCTGCTGCTGCCTGACAGGTGTTCAGACTAATATCTTTAACTGAAACACAACAGCCAAGCACTAGCAGAACTTACCTGGGCCTGGTGGCCATTCTAACATGCTTTGAAAACCAAGATGAGAATGCTCAGAGTGAAATGGAAACAAGGGCAGGAGCGGTTGCTTGGGATGACCAGTGTGGAAGGAAACTCTAGGGCTTGGACTCCAGTCTCAGCTGTTTTAAGCAACAAGGCTAAAACTTTTTCAGACAGGTGAGTCTCTTGCTCCGATTTCCCTCCCTAAGAGTTAGCAGCCTTGTTCTGACTTTTGCTTTAATTTATTACAGTGAAAGGGGCTTTAATTAGCTAACACTGAGGTTCAGTGTGTGAAGGCAATGTTTGCTGTTTTCCCTTCACTTGACTGAAAAAGCCAGGCTCCTCCCTTTAGTCTCCTGTTCTTACACTTAAATCCCCTTTTCAGCAGTGGGAGTGTCTGTTGTTGCAGTTGTCTGACACAAGGTTCTGCCAGTGCCTCATCTGAGGGCATTAAAACATCTGTGATCGGAATTCCTCATGTGACACAACCTTGGATCGTACTTGTTTCTTTCACAGCTGCGTCAATTATTTCATCTTCTTCTCAGCTTGCAGGAGAATTTCTTGATATTGGCACCTATGTGCACACAACCATGTGATTCTTGTGGGTACAAGTTGTCCCCTCTCCCAATTTCCCATGATTCGGGCAGCTCAGTTCTTCCTGTACCACACAATCTTCTTTTCTGATGCCACTGTCCTCCTTTTAATTTCAAGGTCAATAATGAAAACACACATCAAGGCTGATTCCAAAACTGATTGAAGAGGAGCTCTTTAAATGAACCAGTGAGAAAGGAATGAAAGTGAGACTGTAGGGAGGGAAGAATATCACCAGGGGTTTTTTTTGTTTGGTTTGGGTTTTTTGTTGTTGTTGTCACCTGCCTTACAAGCTCTACATAGGGAGTCTCTCTGGTGATGTACTAAGTCAAGGAAGAAATAAAGTAAGACTAGTATAAATACTGTGTCTTCTTTGATATTTTCCTGGAGCTGATGATTTTGGGTCATCTGACACGCCTTACTTTCAATCCATTTTTGCATTTTATGTTTTTTATTTGTTGCATTATCATGCAAACCCTGTTCTAAAGCCCTACATGTCAGCACAGCAAGGTTACTCTGAACTGTAACTGTTGATACTGCTATTTTAAATCCCTTTTATATGCAGGGATACACAGTTCTCTGGCAGCATGCAGCTTTACTGCAAACTAGTCTGCTTGTAAAACCTTCCATATGGGACGTGCTATCACCTCAGGAGCAGTTTCAGATTTCTAGGTTGGAGGTCCTTGTCCTCTCCTCCAAGGAAAAGTGACTTCCTTTAGTTTTGCTTTCAGTTCTGTTGTGCATCCTACTTGGGAAGATACCTCCATCAGCTTCCATTTACTCTTTGCTGGTCAACCGTCTGTCCAGTAGCTTTTGAGCTCCTTGGTAGCATTTGTTTTTAGGGGGTTTGTAGCAGCAAATTCTGCAATTCAGTTGCACAGACAAAGGCCATGATCCTTAATTTTAAAACTGTTGTGTAGTTCCTCCACTGAGAGTCCACAGCACTTGACTTACAGAAGATCAAGGGTAGTCCTTCCAGGCCCATGTCCCTCAGGCCATTCCTGATTTTAAAGAAATACATGTTCTTTCCCTTTAGGTCATTTCCTCTATGAGGTAGAAGGTTCCTAATCTGTTATCTGCCTCCCTGTGGAAGCACTGCCATAGGCCAGTCATTCCCATCCCTGACATTCTCTGGGCTATTTCTATTTCTGCCACATCCTTTTGGCAGAAGAGTAACTGAGCTGTATGTCTGAGCTGTAGGTCTTCCATCTGTAGATCACCCAAATACTGAATGCATCCTCACAGAATATTCTTAGTTGGAAGGAACCCACGAGGATCACTGAGTCCAACTCTTAAGAGAACAGCTCCTATGGGGATTGAACCTGCAACATTGGCATTACTAGCACCATGCTCTAACCAAGCTGTTTTGTTTACTTCTCATAATTTTTAAATTCATATCCAAATAGTCTCTAGGAGGTTTTTTTTTCCAGTTTTCACTTGTATGTGTCCAACTTCTTCTTCAAGTATGTGCCTGCTAGTTCTTGTGACCGCATGGGCTTGGTACCACATGGAAGTGCCATGAAGGCTGCCTGCCCCCTGCCCCTGCAGTGAAGGGGACTGTTTCCATTGTGGATTTGTCTGCTGTTGAGCTGTTAAACACTGTGAAGGGGCAGGCACAGGTTTTGGGGAGGCAGCAGGGGGAAGTGTTGTCAAATATTGATGTTACCTGACTGCAGAGAGAAGGAGCCATCTGCTTCTCTTCAGTCAGAGCATGCGTGGGGCACCAATGATCTGCTACCCAGAATTTTCTATGGGCAGCAGGCACCACCATCATTTTGGAGCCTGTTTCCAACACCCACACCCAACTCTGGGTAATGTACTTAAAAACATGCACGTACATAATCTTCCATGTACGCGCACAGACAGCAGCAGTTATGGGCTTTCTGACTGCAGAGGAAGAAGCAGCAGGGAGGTGGAAGGCCAAAGGTGCTTTGCTTTTTTCTTTTTTTTTTAATCAGTTAAGGCTCTGTAATTCCAAACATCATGAGATAAACATCTGGAGATAATTTCCCCACTCTACCCCTTTGGAGACATCCTCTTTCCCCCAAAAGAGAAAAAATATTTTCAGTTTGTATAAAATGTCTTTTCCTTCTTACTAGAATGTGAACTCTGACATTCTCACACACTGAGAAAAACTCATTTGTTGTTCACAGACCAACCTTGCTGCTCAGAGGTCACCAACACCTCTGTGTGTCTTGTTAACTGAACAAAGCAGGTGCTTCATTTAAAACTTGCAATTAACACTGTAAGGTTATGGTAATGCTGCTGAATACTGGCAAGGCCTGTTACCAAGATCTCACTGACTTCAATAATCTTTAACATTAGGAGAATGGAAGCAACAGAGAGAAGCAGAAATGCAATCAGGCAGAGCTTTGCAAATAAGGTAAACACCTTGGTTAATCCCATCAGGGTACTGTCAATAACAATTCTGCCAGAAGCAGGAGAATTAAATGCTCAAGTTGTGGTTTTGAGCATAGAGCCGTTGAATGCAGTTGTCCAAATCATCTCTTTTTGGGTTTAATTATCTTGTATGCTAAAATCTGCTAGTAAATTTGCTTTAAGACTGTAATTCAGAGATGTTATCTTTTAAGATTTAAAATGCATCTTTTTCCCATAGAAATGAAATCTGAAAAGGGAATTGTTAAAGTTCATATGCCAGTTGGCACTGGGTTAGTAACTAATAATTTTTACAAATGCTGTGATGGTTTAAATTGAATCTCAAAACCAGCTACATTATGGATTTTGGTAGGTGGATGACAAAGTATGGGAACGCTGCTTTGTGCTTTCTTTGATGTAGCAGTTGGGCTCTTTCTTCCAACATATGGTCCAGCTTTTCATGAAGAGCCCAGGCATACAGAGTGGTGAGTTAAAGATGTTGCTGAAGAAAGGCAGAGGTTTTATTGTAGTTTAAACTCAGCATTTGTAGCCTCTGCAGTGTTTATGCATATGTAACATGTATTTTAAATTAAATAAATAGTTATGTATGAATAAAGGCTTTTTTATCCTTATCTTTTTTGTAATAGGAACAGAAGAAAAAATACAAGAACTTCTAGAAAACAGAAAAAGACTGGATCACAAGATAGAGCTACTGCAGGACTTAAAAGAAGTCCTTCCTACCCCGGAGAGCACAGCCAGTACATCTAGTGTGGTGTCTGAATAACGGTGAAGTCTGTCTGTAATGGTGTAAATATTTAGGATTTTCTAATGATAGAAACCCTAGAGCACATCTGGTTCATGTCTAAGTAATTTCCCACTCCCAAGACTGGGACATAAACAAGAACTGGGTCCCATACTCATTTTTATACCTCAATGGTGCAATAATTTTAAGTTTTTAAAATTATCAAATCTTCATCTTCAAACCTTATTATGTAGTACATCAGTGTTATACGCTAAATTTAGCTTTTTTAAACCCTACAGTGAAGACTTTTTGCTCCAAGACAAGGGAACATCAGATGCAACAGAACACTTGTTAAAGTCACTTTAACTGTGGAGCCCTCTCGTGGCTGTGCCATAGCTGCTTCACTGTCTGTGTCTAGACAGTGATGTTTTCAGGATCATATTGGTGCTTTGGCTTTCCAAAGAAGATAAATGAGCAGAACTTGCACTTAAGGAAGCCTTCTGAATGTTGAACAGGACTTGAATTAAAAAACCCAAGTTATTCTTGTTTGACTGGTCAATGTGTAACTAGTTCTGCTGTAATGGCAGTGGCGATACAGTTTTTACAGGCAGACCAAAAACAGTTGGGCATTATCATCAGAATATGTACAATGTCAAAGGGATCAAACAGTGGTCTGGGTCTTTCTTTTCTCCATTACGAAAGGATGCAACTTCCCTCTGTTTTGCCTTTAAAAAGTTGTTTGAATACAGAAAAGCATTGTTTAGCCACAAAAGGCTAAGTTAACAAAATAAAACATTTTTTAAAAAAGCTGTATGTGGAGTTGTGCTCACTGCCCCCCCACTGCATAGGATGTGACCAAGGAGGGGAACAGTGTCAGGCCCTGCTGTAACCACCCCATGCCTCAGTAGGAAGCAGAGCAGCACCAGCGTGTTCCACTGCCCTCATGGTTTCATGACAAGTGTAACATCCTGTTACAACAGCTGTACTCTGCCCCTGACCATTCAGAATTCCTGATGGGAGCTTGTTCTGTAGGACAGGGGGTATCAATAAGCACAGAACAACGTTCAAAACAAGCTCTTGAACTATTAGCTGTGCCCCATAGAAAAAAATACTAGTAATTTTAATTGCTTATACACTTCAGGCCTGCTGCCTGTCTGGGCCTAGAAACACCACCAGCTTACTGCCCAAGCCCAGGACTCAAGTGCCACTCAGAGCAATTCTGCCTAGAAAACACCCCCCCTAAAACAAAAGTGCATTAACGTGGAGCTCTGTTATTAAAAATACACGATGAGAATAGTAGGTGTGTATGTCCATACATACCTGCTGTAGGGTTACAGTCACATATGGATGACTTAATGAAAAAAATCAGATCCATAGATTGCAATCACTGAGGTCTAAATTAGAGCCTACAAATAAATTTGCTCAATTCTGAAATCAAAATCACAGGTATTGTCAAGTACAGTGAAATCAGCAAGATTCAGTAATATAGCATGAGGGGTTAGTTTGGCTATGGTTTTTGTTTGTTGGGGGTTTTCCTTTGTTGTTTTGTTGGGTTTACATTTTGGTTTTTTTTAATAAAGCAATTTATACAGTATGTAACACAAAAAGCTTGCAACATTCTTCAAAGTCTAAATTAGTTTGCTAGTGAACAGGTACAAAAAAAATTAAATTTTATTACATGTAGTTTAAGTTTAGACAATATTTAAAAGCAAAACCCCACCCAATTTTCAGTACAGTATATCCCTTCCCCTCTGAGGGAACCAATGTAATCTGAAGTCACTGAAGAGGGAATTATTTCCATTAAGCATTATAAATATTGCTTGAACAGATTACACAAAGTACATATTACAACTTATATTAAAATATACCCAAATATAGAGATTTACTCCTAATTAGTTTTGCTAGTAACTCCTTTCCTCAAAGTTACTTGCCTAGGCTTTGAGGATACATAATTTTTGCACACTTTAAGCACTGGATACACTTGGTTAATTACACACAGCAAATGGCCAATTCATTCAATATCATGCAAATGCAGTAAGAAATAACCATGCCATTTGCTTCTCTATAATCCCGGGGAGTTAATGATTTAAGTGACATCATTCAGTGGCTCTGACCCCAAAACGTAAACTGAACATAGGAGCAGGCAGTGCTAGAACTGAGACTTCCTAGGCTAGAAAGGTAAGTCCATAACACCGGCCAGTATCCTTTGCATACCACAGCATTTCCTGTCTCAAATCTTGAGCTGGTTCCACAATCCAACTTGGTTAAATGAAGGTGAATATTTTGCTTGACGCTTTTACAACAGTTCCCTCTGGAGCACTGAAAACATTTGTTTTCACTGTGGCCTTTCACGTCTTCTGGTGCAAGAGACCACATAACGCTTGCTGTACCCGTACAGTTATGGCATTCTGCTGTAACTGCAAAAAAACTCCCTACCAGCACCGTAACTTACAGCCTCATGTCAGTTCTTAAAGGCTCCACATTTACTGGCTTTAGCAATGAATTCCTTTAGCAGTGGACCATCCATTTGCCAAAATGCTGTAGTTTGTGTCACTTCTGTCAAATGATTGACACAAAACTTAAAGCAGAATTCCTCTAGGTCCTAAACAGGGGGAAAAAAAAAAAAAAGAAAGTGTTATTATCTTTGTTTTCATCACAGAAAATTTCACTCAGGCACAAATGCCCATATATGCTTTATTTTTGCAGAGAACTGGACAAACATTAACCCAGTGGCTCTCAATGGTTTGCTCCCCAAACACTCACTACATAAGTGCAACAGAAAATAATAATTCTACCCCATCCATGTCACTATGTAAATGCAGTTACAAGGGGAAGTAACCAAAATCTGGTTCTTACTATATAGTGGTCAAAAAAATCAGCTGGTTTGAGCAATATATATTTTAAGTCCTCCCACTTGAAGATTTTCATCTGCATTCAGTAACAGCTATTAAACTCCAATACAAATAGAAGATCTCAGGGTAATAATATATAATCAAGATTGTGGATGAAGAAAAAATTCAACTCTTTCATTCCGTAATATAAACTCAAATATTTCTGTAGGGTTGCTTGACCTCCCCCGCTTAGCTAAGGGTTTAACTAGAGCCTTGAAGTTACGTGGCAAAAAGCGTCACAACCATAAGTGCACCCACATGATGTCAGACCAAAAGGATGTCTTAACACAAGACACAAGTCACTGTCAATATAAGGTTGACCACAGGACACTTCCCACTCAGACTGAATATTTCCAAGTCCTCTTTTGAGAAGGAATCTACTCTGTGATGCAGATCTAAGCTGCTTTAAGGAGAATACTGCAGCCCTTACAAAAGGGCAATTCCCCACACTGTTCCCATTTCTTTATTAATTTGTAGGACCAGTACTCTGTATGTGAGAACACACCCTCCCTCAGCTGCTCAGCAGACTGGGCACTGCAGGAAGGCGTAACAAATTTGCAGAGCTCTTTAAGCCACATGAGGTATGAAAGACTAATTGTGTTTTCACTTAAGGTCAATACTGAAAGCTACAGCAACTATGTGTGCTAGTGGGAGTTCTTGACACAACAATAATATAAAAATATATCCTGGCCTAAAACCAGGCATTCTGAAGCTGCAGATCTTGACTTGTGTGGCATCTGTGCAACAAAAAAAGACAAGCTTATTAGAACTGAACACTGATGTTTTGTATTTTGTTTTTTTAAATAACAGAATTAACTAGCATTTTAAAGAAAATTACATCATACACATTAGAATATTTTGCACTGCTTTATTAAAAAAATTCATATTCCAAGTCAATGCAACAGAAGCATACAATAAACAGAATTATTGTAGTATTAGTAAGTAACTCTGGAAAATTTAAAGTTCTGTATTAAAAAAAAGGCTGAAATTCATTTGCAGATGAATGCACTCCCAGCAAACTGTACTTAATATAGACTTAGGTGAATAAAGGCACAAGGTACAGCTAAGGATTATTTTAAAAGCCAGCCCTGACCTAATGCTAGTCACTTCAGTCAGTCACCAAAAGAAAGTGGAGGAGAGTTTCACATCATGGAGGTATTTTAAAATCAGTGAAGCAGCTTCTTTTAACTGTTGTCTTCCAGGCCCACACTCCCTTGAATGAACTACATCACTCAAGCAATTTCAAGTCCCCAGCTAACATTACAGCATGTAAAACCAGCTTTTTATTAAAGCCCAACCCCTCAGGGTCACCCATTCTCTCCTGGAAGCAGTATTTAGGTCTACACTTTTCACTTGATTTCTAATTTCATTTAGCTAGTGAGGTACAGACAAAGCATAGTAACTGGATTTCTTATATCCTTTACAAGCAGAATCAATCACACATTGAAGATCTGTCCTGCAAACAATCTTTTGAGGCTAAAGTATGCAAATCTTCTACTTTTGACGAACTCCCACCAAAGACATCATTATTTACAGTAGAGCTTAAGGCACAACAGACACTAACACAGCCCTTTGGGTAAGACATATCAAACAAGCAACACACTGCAAGGCTCTGAAATAAGTTAGGGCAACCTGCATGCCATTTGCTTGATATTAAATACAAGAAAAAGCAATGAGTTGATTTACTGAGTACCAAAAAACTGCTTTATAAGCATACGTAGCAAGTTAAAAACCAACTAATCGCAAAGTTGCCAACACAATGCGCAGATACCACACTGAACACAAACAGCCAAAGCAAGCCCTGGCATACTTCCCCATTAGTTTTCAAAGCTGCATGTTAGTGGTCTAGTAGTGAAGTCAGACATCGCGCAGTAGGGAAATTTCACCAGCCTTCCCCCTTTTCCGCACACTGTTCCTCCCTCTTCAACATTTGTAAGGCCCATGAAGCAGTTCTTAGTTTGACATGTCATTAGCAGACAGTGAAAACTGAAACTGTATTTGACTAGCTAAACAAAACAAAAAAAGCCAACAAAAAAACATCCCACCAAAAAAAAAAAATGCCAAATGCACTCAATCCCCAACCTACCATCATATGTCATCACACACAACACACAGCCTTACAAATAAGTAACTTGAAGGCTTACAAGTCTGCTTTTCATAGTGTTTTCCTTTGTATTTAAACCCTTCCCTTGTTCCAGAGTTAGTGTTTTTATCCTCAGAAATATCTGTGTACTAGCTCATCTTCTCAGAACTGGTTTAAGGGGAAAAATTAAGATACATCTCTCATGGCAAATACAGTTTTCAGAAGTCCAACATTCTCAAATTCTGAAAGTGGCAAATAGCATTATCTGACAGTGAGTGAGAGAGTTTATATGAAAATGTAACTGGCTGCCTTTCTCCATAGTTTAAGTCAGAAAGCAGCCACCTATTAAGGAGATTGAACTTTAGGAGTTTACCTCTGCATCATATCTCACAGCAGCAGAGAGCAATGAAAATGCATTTTCCACAGTAATTCCTCTCTTGATGATGTGTTGACACAGTTTTTTGAGTCTGTTTTCACAGTATGAAGTAGCCAAATCCAAGAGCCCTGCAATTAAAACACCATTGTATTAGTTAGATGTAATGATCTCTGCTCTTTCAGCAACAATTTATGCTCCCAGAGTACAGACTGCATCTGTATTCTGTGTACAAAGCTCTGAATCTCTATAATGTGATTTTTGCAAGCAGGTCACTACTCAGAAAATGTACACTACACATGAAGAAAGGTATTTTATTACCTCACACTGCAATCCTGTTAATCTCTGTAAGCATGAGAGCTGTTCCACTGATCTGCATATGTAATGGCTTGCAATAGTGTCACAAAACAGGCACCACAACATGAATAAAACACTACTACTATCAAAATATGGGCTTGAATTA